AAAAAAAAAAAAAAAAAAAAAAAAAAAAAAAAAAAAAAAAAAAAAAATAGATGACACTTTTATTACGTACTTGTATGGAATCTCCTACTTTCACATACACAAATTAGCCCTTTTAGTTTCGGATGCTGCCAGTCAGGGAGCTCACCTATGGTGCAGTTGTTACCGATGACGCTGTTATAAATGTAACAGTTAGCGCCGATGCTAGTGTCAGAGCCGATGAGGACGTTCTCCTCCATCTGGCTGCCATGGCCCAGGCTGACTCCGGACCCCCGGTAGACATTGTGGCGAGAAAACGTGCAGCTTCGTCCCTTCTGGTCAATGAAGTTGGCCTCGGGGGTGAGCGGGTAGACCCACCGCCGCACGAGGTCCGACGACACAGAGTCATACATGAGGAGGTTGGACACTCGGACGCCGTAACCATCCTTGGTGACGTGCATGTGTATCTGGTTGCCCAGAATCTAATCGGAAAAAGAATCAATTAATGCACTGAATAGCATCCGTAGAATAGCATGATCCAAATTTGTATTAAAACGACTGTGGCCGCGCCGTACCTCTTCATTGACCAACATCCCTCTGACGAAGTCGTTCCTAGTCTGGTAGTCAAAATTGTCTGTGAAGAGCTCAGCAACCTGAAAAATGAGAAAACACTTGTTACCTCGATCACTAATGGTCAGTTGAATAGCTCCTGCCTGTGTTTGGAAACTAACCTGTGGGGAGCAGATACTGATGTGACAGTCCAGGAGGTCGTGTCTTATTTCAAACTCATCGCTCGCACTGTGGAAAATGTTCTGCGAAACAAACGGGAGCGACTGTCAATCGCCAATCAAAAGCCCCAGTAAGTTAAAGACGTGCCGAGATGTGGACCTCCTACCATGGGGAACTGCAGCCTCTTCAGCCCGTGGGTCTTCTGGTAGTGTAAAATCCGCTGGCTCCTGCTGTCCATAGCAACAATGACATCATCCTCCTCGCAGCGGGACTTGTGACCCGGCGACGATTCCTTGAAGATCATCGTCATCACTGAGATGTTCTTCTCCATCTTTCGACGATACCTGTGCGCAAGCAAAACGACACACAGTATTACAGCAGCACAGATAGATCATATATATATTTACTAATGACGTAATTTCTCCAGACTTATTATCTCTTACCTGTGCTCGTGCAGTGCCGGACCGATGTCGATATTCGATACCACGTCTCCGTTGACCAACAGAAAGTCCGATCGCAGAAGGGACTTGGCATCAACATCCCTTAAAACGTCCCCTAGGGAGCGGTACTGCTCCGAGGTGATGATGTGGACGGTGTTAGGAGAGGTGGGTCGGCACCACTTCGACTTCCTGTCAGACATAGGGACAAGTCACAATCTTGTCATTGAGGCCAATATGCACAGGTGATGATAAACACACAGCACTAGTGAAAACTTACAGCAGGTGCTCCTTGATTTCACTGGCCATCCAGCAGCAGAAGATGAACGTCTCCTGTACCCCAGTGGACGTGAGGAACTCCAAGGTGTAGTCGATCATGGCGACATTACCCAGCGGCAGCAGAGCCTGTCATCATTGAAAACGTGACAGATGTCATGAGTGTAGCTGTGAGTAACTGTTCAGAGTCAGGGTGGAAATAAGACCCAAAGCACTGTTAAACAAAACCAACCAAACTGCTCAAATAAGAGTTTAATAGTGACGTGTTTAGCTCTGTTGTAATAGTTGCATCAGTGTCAGTGCAGCCCTGTCACTGTTTACAGCATGGACATTAGTTAGCAACCGTTAGCTTAGCTCGGTTCCTACCCTTGGCCGGTCTTTGGTCACCGGGAAAAACCTCCGGTTGAAGCTGTCGGCGACTAAAACAGCCTGCAGCGGCTTCTCCTCTTCCTCCTGCTCGTCTGCACCTTTTCTACCTGAAAGGCCAGCGCCCGAACGACTCTGTTTTCCTCCTCTACCGGCCATGTTTGACTCCCAAGTGCCAGTGCTAACCAACTATGTCGTCAGACACAGCTACGGTGGCTGCGGTGGGACAATCCTTCTGCGTGGTTGTAGTGAAGTTGGTGTTCGCACGTTGCAGGATTACTAGTGCCTTTGTTTACATTGTTTGGATTCCAACTACTTACTTTGTCTGAGGCATTACTCTACGAAAATGTATCATTGCTGTTACCTTACAGGAATAGAAAAAATGATATACATTTTTTTTAAAGGGTTTGAAATTTGTATAATAATTCTTTGTAAATATTTTAACAACCGGTACAGATCGCATCCTTTTACCGATTGTATTGTCTACTAAATTAAACAACACATGGAAAAGGTTCACTCAACAGCCATGTCAGAATATTTTGTAAATATATATCCTTGAGTAGCTGAAAAAAATATTTGGGAGAAACTTCCGAACTAACCGCCCAAAAATCACAACTGTAATCCAATTATTTCAAGTACATTGATACTCTGATAAGCAGATCTTTTCTTTTCTTGACTGGTGTTTGGCTGCATGAACATTTTACTACATATTGTCAATTACAGTCAACCCACATAAGAGTATTATCTAATGGGGGCATATTTGAAAACTCCAATTCAAAATGCAAGTATAAAGATACCCCTTGCCTTTTATGGCTGCAGGGGATAGTCACACAGTACATCACTCACAGTCATACTGACTCTCAGGGATTGAGGATATGAATTATATTTGAATGAAAACATGTTAGTGCTTTATTATTAGGTTATGATCTTCATAATAACGAGCTTTACCGTCACTGGTTGACACACTTTGCACAAAAGATTCTCTAGAACATATCTTTCAGAATGACTTTATTGCAGAAGAATTCAGCTATTGAACATCTGAACCAACATGTTTAACTTCATCAGAGACAAAAACATCTGGCTCCTGCCGTCCAACAGTTTAGGCAAGAACCTTCATTCACTGTTCTGTGAAAGCTCAACAGTTTTTCATTTTGTCCTCAGCCACCTCAAGCAAAATACACAGCCAGAAAAAGACAACATCTACTGGTGTTGTTTGGTTATCTTCCTGGCATGCTCCAACACTGAGTCATAGCGCAGGGTTTTGGATGTCCAGGAAGATGGAATTTCCTCAAATCCAATCTGGGAGAATTCAAATACCACGTTTTCTAAATCATCGAAAATGCAATGCTGGTATAATATTAAATATAACGACTGTAAGATTGGCACACGGTCATACCTGGGCCCCAAGACAGGCTCCAATGAAGGACCCTCTGCTACAGGTGCATCCCCCGCAGCTCATGGTGTCTCGGACAGCCTGCTCATAGTGCTTGGCTGTCAGGACTCCATATAGCGCTGCTTGGAACGCACCGGGCAAACCTGAAACAACATCAGCACCAGATGTGAATGAAGCGAAGCCATTGTAACTGGTTGTCTCAGGATTTGGCACAGTATATGTACGATAGCTGCCTGGGTCACGGTAAGTACTCCAATTCTGAATTAAGAGGTTCAAACGAGCTTTGTGAGGATACCTCATGCGTTTGGAAACACAGTGGGGATTAGCTCCTGAGGAGTCTTCGACAGATTCTTCTTCACCTCGTGAATGTGCCCTGGAATCAATCAGAGAAGAGGGTACACTCAGTCACTCAAATTAAATACAATAAACATGTCAGGTAAAAATGTGACGATACATAAAACATACATGGTTGCATTTAATTTACTAAGTAACTATTCAGTAACTCGCACAAAATGAGGAAGGGTGAACCCTTTGATCACATGACTTTGGTGTAGTGAAGCAACAGAGCTGCAGGCCTCATATACCGATGACTGCTTTGTCCAGATCCTGGGGCTGCTTTCTGTTCGGGTCACTGAGCTGGTCGAGCACTGAGTCCAAGGCTTTGGGATCCGGACCATTCAGGATGTAATGCTCCAGGAACCTGAGGAAACAAGTCAACGTACAATCCATTATATACATATATTCAAATTTAGAATATTCGTTGACAGTCCTAGTCAGCTGTAATAGCGCACATTTTTGTCCTTTTCTACTGAAACTAATTTTCACTGCATTGAGAAGTGTCAGTACCGATTACCTGGTGACATGTTTTTGCACCTGTTGTGCCTTCCAATAAAAAAATAAGTATGATTTTTTTTTTTGTCATTTGATATTTGTATCAGATCCCAGATTCCGAAATGAGCAGTATTATCGGCAGTACAATAAATTTAAAAATAGTAAAGTTAGAGCGAACTGATGTATATATGGTAAACATACTGACCTTGCAGCTGCTAGAGTCTCTGCCACACATGCATCATTGTTCTGGGTGACACGGACGGCCTGCTCAACTTTTTCCAGCATGTCGGGCTTTCCTGCATAAAAAGCCACTACAGGAGCCAGTTTGGCTATTCCATCAATCTGACAGTCGTTCTCACAGCCTGCGGGAAACACAACACATTAGTTAAGAGCCGTTTCCCTTCGTTATGTCTTTAGTTACTGTTATAAAATCACTACAGATCTACCCGTCTCTTCTTTGCCTGCATCCACATTCTTCAGGAAGCTCTTTAAACTCCCTTGTCTCCATGGTCCCTGGATGGGCAGCTGAGGTCTTGGCCCTTTTTGTAAACAAGGACAAACATATGATCAGTTGAATATTCATTCTTCTGCAACAATATAATACACTTCTCCTCTTCTGCTGGATAGTTTTCCTACCTCCTTTCTCTCTGTAAGGATCGTTGACAGGCGTGTCATACTCTGATCCAGGACCAAAGAATGTCACTGTCCGCTGCTTCAGATCGTCAACATTTAGACCTAGCCATACAGGTTACATGAATTAGACAAGGGAGAACATGAAACTCACACAATCATAATACTGCAGAACCTATTGGGATATTGAAATTGGGTGAGATTGGTAGATATTGGTAGATAATTGTAGTGTCAACAACGATGGGAGATGCTGACTTATTGAACCTGTTCTTTCGAGGTTGTATTTTCCTATCGGGTCGATAAGATGAAGAAGCAAGCCTACCCCCACATTCAGACAGAGACTCCAGCAGAACAAAGGCCTGGTCACCGTAGCAGCTCTGCTGGCCCGTCTGCCTCCTGTAGAAAGGGTTGGCCGACTCGGAGCAGAACTCGGGGTTTGGATGCTGAGCCAGAATCCCCTGCAGCTTCTGGAGGTCATACACCCAGTGGAGGGGCTGCGCTGTAGGGGACGAGACAGCGGGTTCATTTCACTTCGGTCAGTATCTTGAAGTCAATCGACTAGCTGAGTGTAGAAAAGGCACTACAACTTGCAAAAACCATGTGTATTCTGGGTAAAGAAAATAAGGTAGCATCTCAACAGAAAAGTGCCTGCTGATGTTAAGGAAGTGGGAAAAAAAAGAAGAAACTTGTAGAGTATTAAAACAGTAAGATGATGAACCTTTTTTACCTTAAGACATTGTACCGACTACATAAGATACAATACCACACTACACTTTGACAGACTTGTTACCCGCTGCATCTGCAACTGCTGATCCTACGATGGCTCCCATCGCTCTGTTGGCCAGAGACGCAGCCATCTGCAAAAACATGCAAAATAATGTTGGAATCTAGGAGAATTGTTATTATTTGTTGATATATATATATATATATATATATATATATATATATCAACA